AAGAAATATCTTTGCTTATTCATTGGCTGTAGTCTGTTGTGGCCCAGTCAATCACCAACAAAGATACATTACACTACCGTCCAGTGTTTAATTCACCAAATGTAATTTGTCAGACAATAATGTTTCTCTTTTATCCCATATTAATTAAAAACTATAAATGTAACACACAGAACATGCAGCTAGCAGACCTTGAGGAACTACATTTGAAGAAAAAAATACTTTTGTGTCAGCTTTCAGTTTATATAAATTAAGGTGAAAATGTTGTCCACAGAACCCCCTCCAGGTCCTGGTGAACGCTATCATCAACAGTGGGCCACGTGAGGACTCTACCCGTATTGGGCGTGCTGGTACCGTCAGGAGGCAGGCTGTTGACGTGTCACCCCTCCGCAGGGTCAACCAGGTAAACCCACTCAAATATACTATTTAAAATAAAACAAACATTGACTTTCTTAAAGGCTAGTCTTTGATTTAAATATGAAAATGGAATCACCCCAGAAAATGAAAGAGCTTGTGCTTTACATACCTGGAAAATGTGCTTTTTTTGCATTCTTCCTTCTAATGCAACACACATTAGACAAATTACAATTTCACCTTTCATTTAATTAGAGCTTACATGGCAGGAGTTGTACAGTCCATAAAGAAAATGAATACTGCTGTAAAAGTGGGCCGATGACTTCCATTAATGAGAAAAGGAAGCACATTGGATGTTCCATTGCTACTGCAGTGTAATCATGAAGCTGTTGTGCAAAATATCTCCCAATCTTTATATTTTTCTCAACTCATCACTACATAGCTAAAATCAGAAATGTCAGAATCCAAGGCTGCACCCAATGTTTTTTCTTTTCTGTAAGTTGCTTTGTTTGCTGTAATAACTGTTTGTATTACGTGCATAACGCGAGGCTAGAGTCACGCCTGGATACACCCGTTGTCCTGGTGTGCTAGAGTGCTCGTAGAAGAAATATCTTTGCTTATTCATTGGCTGTAGTCTGTTGTGACCCAGTCAATCACCAACAAAGATACATTACACTACCGACCAGCGTTAAATTCACCAAATGTAATTTGTCAGCCACTAATGTCTCTACTCGTCCTGTAGGCTATCTGGCTGCTGTGCACAGGCGCAAGAGAAGCTGCCTTCAGGAACATCAAGACCATTGCAGAGTGCCTGGCTGATGAGCTGATCAATGCCGCGAAGGTAACGGTTTATTCACTTATAGCATGCTCACTATCTGATTGAAGATAACTTGATATCATTCCTATTATTGCACCCTTCTGATTCTTGTGCATTGATTTTTAAGTAGCGTTGAAACGGTACCTTAACACAATGCAGTCTGTAATTCTGATTACAGCTGATTTAAACTAATATTTGGAGGCTGCAATAGAGCAAATGGCAACCAGTGATTAAAGTCTCCACAGATTAAATTGGTTGTCCAACTCCAAAATCCCATCATGGCAGATTGAAATAAATGTTTGCTGTAGAGGAACCTCAGATTATGT